CTCCTGGATCCTAGGTCGACGCTCAACCGCTGAGCCACGCCCAGCCGGGCAGAATATAATTTTTGACTCATGAACTCTTTAAAGTCTGTTTTTCAATTTCCAGTTGTGAAATTTAAACCTTAATTAATCTTTTTTTGTTTCTGATAACTACCTTAATTTCTAACTTAATTTCACTGTGATGAGAGAGCATAACCTGTAGATGGTGAGGGGAAGTTTGCCCAAAATATTCCTCTTGGGATATTTACTACAGTCTTGTGTCCTATTGTTTCTGGGGTCCAAGCAAGATTTGTTTACATGTTTTTGTCTTCTGTCTACCCGAGTTGCCTACTTTGAATTCCCAGACCCCTGCCTCTGCCCCTTAGTCCAGAATGGTGACTAAGCCTTAACTGCCCAACATGTCCCCTCAGGTCCCATATTCTCAGGGACCCTCTATGTACTGTCCACTTGAGTGTTAATGAATCAAGAGCTTCACCAGAACCAAAGACAAAGATTTATTCAAGGATCTTGAGATTTGTAATCTGGAAACATGGCCAGGTAACACCAGAGTGTTCTGAAGAAGCAGAAGCATTGGGAGCTCCTACGTGGCAGAATCAGTCCTGCATCCCTAGCTCTGGGTTGGTCCGAGGTGGTGGTGTCAAGCTGTCTGGGCACATAGACATGCTTTCCCACGTTCTTCAGAGGGCGCACTGTGGGGTTTGTATGTTCTGAAAGTTCAGAAGTTTAAAAGTTTAAGTCCTTGGGCTGGTTAATGCAGAACAAACTCTGTTCCTTGTGTTTCAGCCGCTGTGATTTAAGTAACTTTGTTAGCTTGGCTGTGGTGACCCCATTTTGTTTCTCCACTTCTGGCTCAGTATGTAATGAACTTGGTCATTTTCTCCCATTAATCTCTCTCGTTAATTTGATTATGAGTCCAGCCAGAGGGACTTAGAAGGGTGGATGGAAAATTGTTTTTCCACCCCCACAATGGTTTCCTTTGAGACATACTTACAGTTGCTTATGGCTTAGCATATGGTCAATGTTTATAAATGTTCCATGAGCTTAAAAGGAATATGTTTTCTTTAATTTTGGACCACTGGGTTTTTTATATTTGTCTTCCAAATCAGTTCTTAGTTGCACTGCTAAATATTCCACGTACTCAATAATATTTCCCTGACTGACTCATGGCTAACTGAGTGCATATGAAACCTCTTTCTCTCGGCAGACCTGTCAGCTCTTACTTTATATGCACATTTATTTATTTTCTGCAGTTACTGTAAATAGTTTGAAACATGCAGCGCAGAACAGAAAACCTAACAGACGATCAAGTACTTTTTTCTTTCTAAATGAACATTTGCTAAGCGTTATGTTTTTTCATCTTTTGACTTTTGACCTTTATGTGGCCATATGTTTTAGGCTTGCCTCGGAAGGTACTTGTAACTGTGTTTTAAGAACCCAGCTGGAACATCCGTGCCAGTTAGCGGCCACGTTCAGCCTGTTCATGTTTATTGCCATTATTTATTTACTGGGATTTGCTTCCTCCGGTTTAGATGTTGACAGCTGTTCTGTTTCTCCTATGCTTTACGCTCCTTTCCTTCAGTTCTAATATTGAATAATTGCTTGTTTGCTTAAGTAGCACATTTTTCCTCTACTGAAGTTTAGAAACGATGAATTCTGTTTCTGGCTTTTAGTGGTCACCATCCGACTTTCCTGGGTAACATGACTGGGGGGGTGTTTGTGGGACGCTCCCTCCGAGCAGCAGTGCCGCTCACGCTGCTCCCCACGCAGTGCTGCCCAGCCCGTGGCCCTGCTTCTCACCTCGCAAGGTGAACGTTATATTTTCGCTATATAGACTGTTTATTTAGGGTCACCATTTCGTGACCTCCCTTTCGGTCTTGCATCTAAAACCTTCCTTGAGTATCATTTTCTGTCTTCCTGAAGTTCAGACATTCCCATAAAGCCTGACCCGTGCATTCCTGAAAATGCCACGCTGGAAAGAACAAGCGTTGTAGGAAAGACGGGGTTGAGAGCAATGATTCAAGGCCTGTGCAGCTTTGTAAGCAGAGCACTAACATAAACCAGAGCAGTCCTGACGAAGCAGCAGCAGTTGCATCTCTGTTGGCAGTGTGGAGACCTTACCCCTCCAGGTGAAGGGCCTGTAGGGCATGGGCTTCTCCTGCGTGAGCAGGGGCCTCGCTTCTCTGCACGTCACTCCTCTCTGGGTATTGCCCCTTGGTCCCGACACTGTGTGGCCCTCAGCATCCAGTCCTTTCCTGCCAGCGAGAGTGCTGCTCTGTGCTGGGCTCTTACACTAGGAGTCAGCAAAGGGCCTCAGGAAAGCTGGGGGGAGGGGGGAGTCTGTGCTTCCCTCTTCCAAGGATCCGTGTTGATTGGTCTCCACGCCTTTAAGCCTTTAGCGTCTGTGCTTTACAGTTGTTTTCAGGGGAGGACGAGGCTGTTTCCAGCTTCTCTGTTTCAGGCCATTGAAACGCTGGGTCAGCTTTATGGACTTTGATTGCTTGTTCATGTTTTTAAGATAGATTTTCTTATTTACATAGTTATTTTATATTCCAGGTCTAAAATGTCTTACATCTGCTGTCTCTCACACGTGGTGATCTTGCTCCTTGTATGTTTGGTGATGTTTTTAGTTGGAGTTCATATACAGTTGACCTCAGTCCACCTTTTCTCAGCTGGGGCTATGAGAGAATTCAGCCTACAGAACATGAACTTACAGGCTGCTTTTTTAGTTCTGCAAGGGTGGTGTGTCGTAGCCAGTGCCGCTGTGAGAGCGTCTTCTTACACCAGGGGTGCTTTGAGGGGCGCTGTATCTGCCGGGACTCTGGGCCGGGTGGGGAGGTTGGGTCAGGGGGTCTGGTTTGCTGGTTCAGAAGCTCAGGGCATCCCGCCTGGGCTGTCGTCCCCTTGAGGGAACAGCTCAACAGGAAGCCTCATTCAGCTTGTCAGGTCCCCTCCCAGCAGGGAAGGTCGCGTCCCCACAAGGTAACTCCGCAGTGGAGCCTGTGTCTTAACCCCACAGTGAGAGCTGTTCCCAGGAGCAGGAGCACGTCTGCCATGGCCGCTGTTCAGTGATGTCTCTCCCTCTCCCACCCCTTGTGGGCCGGCTCGTTCAAGTGTCTCCTTTTCAGTGATTTAACTATTACTGCCAGGTCTTATTTCTTTTTTTAGTGACCTGCATCCAACAGTGACTTGCATCTGCCCTCATTCTGATCATCCCCCACACTCTAGTTCTGCTTGGACTTGGTCGATTCACGTTCTTGCTGTAAACCCTGTTCTGACGTATTTCTGTCTGGCCTGGGCTCTGTCCGCTTCTGTTGAGCATCAGAGCTCTTCATTGAGTCTGAGTCCACACTGGTTCTTTCCCCAGTTTTCGTACCCTTGGGTTTCCTTTATTGTTATTGTGAAGCTGTGGTTTTGAGATAATAAATTTATTTTAATCCTTACCTGAGGATATTTTAACCATTGCTTTTCAGAGAGAGTGGAGGGGTGAGAGAGAGAAACATCGATGTGAGAGAGACACATTGATTGGTTGCCTCCCGCAGGAGCCCTGACTGGGGCTGGACATCAAACGTGCAACCGAGGTTTGTGCCCTTGGCCAGAATCAAACCCAGGACCCTTCAGTCCATGGGCCAACGCTCTAACCACTGAGCCACACCAGCCAGGGTGAAATAATAAAGTTCTTAATTTAAAAGTAATGCATGAGCATCATGGAAAATTTTGGGGGTGTTAAAAGTAGTATAGTGAAGACCCTGGCTAAGTACTAAATGGTTAGACCGCCAGCCTGCGGACTGAAGGGATAGAACCTTGCAGGGCTTTAGGTGGGCATGCTGAAGCTCCTTTCCCAGAAGGTTCCTGGTTCTACCCTCGGCAGGGAAGCTCGCTGGTGCTGGTGGTACACGCGCAGCCCAGGAGGCACCGTTGGCTGCTGCTGACGCTCAGGTCTGTCTGTCTCCAAAGTCGGCTCAGGCTTCTGCCTCTGGCCCAGCCAGGCTGCAGCGCCACAGTGTGGCCACAGTTAGGGGCAGAGGCTGGACCCTTGGTCTTCGTGTGAGCTTTGGGGACATTCACCCTCATTTCTGTCGTCCTTTAATGTCCTTTTTGCTTTTACGTTCCTTACAAGAAGTAAAAGTGAGACCCAGCCATTGGCATTGGCTCCGAGTCACTGCACCTACTGTCTCCTGGCATCTCTGAGCTCTTGGGAACAGCGTTACCTACGGGAATTGAAGTAGACATTAGGGGAGTTACAATAAAAACTATTGTGGGAACAGTACTGTGCGTGGACAACAAAGTCTACTTAAAAGTAACTAAGGTCATGGTGTTTTAACCCTGGGAAGTTTGGTTTGTGGGACCCAAGCTGTGGAGGCGCCGGCAGCCCTGAAAGTCAAGGATGGTCTCGGGGGAGCAAGCATGTGCACTGTGGCTGTGCCTGCCGGCCAGCACCCCGCACTACAGTCCTCCCCACACCTGGGCTGGAGCCCTCTGTAGTCCCTGGCACAGAAGGGCCTTCCCTAGGGTCCTGAAGGAGAGAACCCCAGGCCAGTGAGATGAACCAGCCGGCTCAGGACCACGTCTGCGGTGCAGGACCAGCTGAGGTCCTGGCAGAGACAACAACATGGCATCTTTTCTCAAGGGCTGAACCCTGACCCAGAGGCGGGGACCCTGTTTGCCCTGGTCTGGGGCTCTGGGGCTCTGGGGCTCTTAGAGCATCAGGACTAACGGCTCCTAGTGGAGGCAGAGGTGTCTGCAGCCAAGGACACGGTGCTGCGCTGTCACCCCTGCCCTGGTGGAGCTTGACCTGAGGAAGGCTTCCTTAGGGCCCAGTGCTGGCTCAGTCCTTGCCATCACGCACCTCCCTCCTGGTCTCACTGGGATGCAGGTAGTCTCGTGTGTGTTAGCCCTTTCCTATTGGGGTTGGAGCTGGGACAGCATCTGGTGCCTGGCTGAGATCTGCGTGATGTGGGCTCCATGCAGCATGCCCGTGACTTGGCTGCCTTGTGTCCTCATAGGCGGCAGCGTGGACCTGGACGGCCAGGCGGAGGGGAAGAAGGAGGTGGAAGCCAATGACGAGATGAGGAGTGGCCCCCGCCCCATCGTCCCATACAGCTCCATGTTCTGTCTGAGCCCCACCAACCTGTGAGTCCCTTTGCTGCCATACCTGGGCCCATGACTTTTACCCATCACCTGTGATCCACATGATGCAACAGCCGTGTGCCCCTTATGTGGCTGCTCCTTCTCATCACCCGGGGTCAGCCTCACTGTCACGGCCTCCCTGGCCTCCTGGTGACTGTCCTCTGCTGTGTTGTGACATCTGCCTGTATCTGAGGGCCTGCTGTTAGCTTTTGTCCACCCTGTGTACTGTGGTCCTGCTCAGCCCTGTGCCCAGTGTCGCGTGTGCCCAATCAGAGCAGAATAGTGGTCAGACTGCTGGGCTCCAGCAGAGCCTGTGCTTGTATGGCCAGCACAGTCCAGCCTGTGAGCTGTAGTCTGCCTACTCCTCTGAGGGTTTCTGCAGTCTTCCCACCCCTCTTCCTGGGACACCCTCCTAGGAACCTAAGTTACCACCAGCCACCTTGCCACTGTCTCCAGACACTCAGAGCTCAGCTTCCTACAGGAGAGACCAAACAGGGGGACAATGAGGAGCCCAGCCAGCCCCTCTATGGCCCCGGGTGAGCCCCGCTTTGCCCCCAGGCTCCGCCGCTTCTGCCATTACATAGTGACCATGCGGTACTTCGAGATGGTCATCCTCATAGTCATTGCCCTGAGCAGCATCGCCCTGGCCGCAGAGGACCCTGTGCACACAGACTCCCCCAGGAACAATGTGAGTGCTGCCCTCGGCTGTGGAGGGTGGGGCGGGGCCTTGTGTCATGGGCAGGAAGAGTGCAGAGGTGCCCAGGATGGGAGTCAGCCGTGGCCACGGGCTGTTTGAGGGTTTCTCCCCACAACCTTTGCCCACGGACCCTGGCTGATGGGTTGTCTGCCTCAAGGTCAGGAAGGACCTGGAGCCCCCAGGATGGCCTGGCTGCAGCGCCTAGCCTCCTCTGAGAACTACTTCCTTCTGGTTGCAGGTTCTGAAGTACATGGACTACATCTTCACAGGTGTCTTCACCTTTGAGATGGTGATAAAGGTGAGTGATCCAGTCACCCCCTCCTGGATGTGAAGGCAGGTGGTGGGGTGCCCTACACACAGGCACAGGTGGGGACATGGGAGGCGTCATTTACTCTGGACTCACCACAGCATCAGTCAGACTGGGGACAGCTCCCCACACCCTGACCAGGGTCCTCGCTCCCAGACGTTGGGCAGGACACAATCTAGGCCATGTCCCTTTTCCCGAAGGAGGGTGTGACCTGGAACGGAGTCCTTTCCCCAACCCCTCAACTCTGGGGTCTGGCTCTGCCCTTTTTTCTGAAGTATGCTGCCACCTAAACTGCGTTTCTTCCCCGAAGATGATTGATTTGGGACTGCTGCTGCACCCAGGGGCCTACTTCCGAGACCTGTGGAACATTCTGGACTTCATTGTGGTCAGTGGGGCCCTGGTGGCGTTTGCCTTCTCGTAAGTACCCACGTCTGCTCTGGGCCTGGCAGTTGCAGCCCCCAGATGCGTGATGGGGTTTGGGGGGGCACCGCTGGCCTCCAGGGCTGTCCACAGCTCCGTCCATTCTGCTTGGGCCTGGCTGTATGTGGGGGGAGGACCTCAAGCCTGTTCCTCCCTGACACTGCCCCTGGTTCTGATGTTGGGCTTGTCTGCTCTCTGCCTCTCAACATCCTTCGGAGCAGTTCTCCCTGCCCCACCCTCAGCTAGTGGTGCTGGGGGTGTTGTCCCCCTTCGAGGTCTAGGATTTTCTCTGGCTGGGCCTGGGATGGCTCCCCAGGGCTTGCGTGGCGGTGGGGCTGAGGCAGGCATGGGGGCTTGGGTGGAGCTGGCGGCATGAGATGCAGAGATAGGACGAACCCCGCAGGACGATCCCATGGCCAGGCCTTCTCACTGACTCTCTTCTCTTTGTCTCTCTGTTGCTGGACTCTCGGTAGGAGCTTCATGGGGTAATGCCTCCCCCCGTCCCCTCACACTGCCCACATCATAGCTGCCCTCGGGCCGTTTCATCACCACTCACTTCCTCTCATCTGCCTCCACCCTCCGGGCTGCATGCTACCGGAGCCACGTCCCCAGGCCTCATGTTCCCACCTGGCCTGGGGACAGGGAGCCCTGTGGGGCTGGGGCTGGGCATGGACAGTCCTTGGTGAGAAGCAGGAAGCAGGGTGTCCCGAGTGAGTGCAGGAGGCCAGGAATGAGGGTCATGACTGGGTGGTGGACACCCTGCTGTGCCCTCCCACCTCTGCTCTCCAGAGACGCTGCCTTCCTTTCTCTTTTCCCTGGAGACTGCCTCCCTGCAATGCCCAGCGTCTGCCAGGGGTCTTACCTGTCCTCTCTTTATATAGAAGAGGTGACAACTTTGCCAGTGTTAGTGGGGGACTTGGAGTGAGAGGGAGGGGTAGGTGAGACCCAGCCAGACCACCTCAGAGCAAGAGCCAGACCTGAGCTGGCAGAGAGAAAGGCAGCCTCTGCCCTCAGAGCCGAGACTGCACGAGTCTCCTCCCACTGAAAGCATCCCTGTTTCCTAGGAAATGTGGCAGGGTCTCCTCCCCTGCACCCCTTAGGTGTCTGCAGTCCTGGGTAGGCCTCTTCTGCCCCCTCTTCCCTGTGTGGCTCAGCAGGAGGTGGGGAAGCTGGTCTGGAGCAGGTGTCAGTACATTGGGGAGATGAAAATAGCTGTGCGGTATGCGTAGGCATGCGGAGGCTGGGACATCCAGCAGTTCAGGGGGCGTGGGATCTGAGTCTGGAGCATAGGCCCCGTGGAGTCCTGGTGGGAAGAAAGGGACTGGGGCACCTAAGGGCCCTTCCCCAGGGAGCCTGCCTGGGCCTTGCCGCTCACTCTCCCCAGAGCGTGACTGGAACCCAGGGATACTGGAATGCCCTATTCCCCCCACGTGCGGGTCCCCTGGACTTGGGGAGAAGTGGCCTCTGAGCAGGATGGGTTAGGGCCTCAGGTCCTGAGCCTTCAGCCACTGCCCCCATCCCCCATCCCCTTCCCGGGTGGGTTGTGGCCTTGCCCTTGAGCATGGCCTCCTAAGCCCCCCCTTCACCTGCCCTGGCTTCCCGTTGGCAGGAAGGCCAGCCCCAGAGAGACGGTTCCTGTGTTCCTGCCAGCCTGAGGGACCCACCTCGGCTTCCTCCGTGAGGGGCCCTGATCTGGTCCCAAGGTCCTGGAGTTCTGGGCTTGCTTCTGGTGCCTGGAATCTGCTTTACCTGACTGTCCGCCCCACCACCCTGCTGTCCACCTTCCTCATCCTCCTGGCGTCTGTCTCTGTGTCTCCTCCTCCCTGCTCCCCTCCCCCTCTCACTCCCCTATTTCTCTTTTTTCTCTTATTCTTCTTCCCTCCTTCTCCCCTCCCTGTCAGTTTTCCCTCGAGTGGTCCTGCAGCTGACAGAGGACAGGCAGAGAGATCCAGGTTGTCCCCTGGCCTCCCTCTCTGGGAGGCAGCACCCTCCCAGAGCTGTGGTGCACGCTGCCCGCAGGCCTCTGCACGGTCCCTCCTCCCCTCTCACTCCCACTGCTGGCCTCGCAGGTGGCAGCTAGCAGCTGGTTGGGGTCAGGGGCGCACTGGGTGATGGAAGTGGTCTGGGAGAGCAGGTTCTTCCCATCAAGCATCACCATGCTCCCTGTCCCCCAGGTGCTGCTGACCTGGCCCTTGTCCACTCAGAGGAGGCTTCTGTGGTGCCCACAAGGCTGGGACCTCCGTGCTCCTCAGTCCTCTGCCCTGGGGCCCAAGACAAATGCAGAGGGGGTGACCCGGCCCTTGTGGCTTTGTGGGGACCTGCTGTCTGCATGTGTGGCTTCTCCTTCTAGAGGATCCAAAGGGAAGGACATCAATACCATCAAGTCCCTGAGAGTCCTGCGCGTCCTGCGACCCCTGAAGACCATCAAGCGGCTGCCGAAGCTCAAGGTGAGAGCCTGGAGAGGGGGCTTGAGAAGCATGCAGGACCATGTGTTCATGTTGTGTGTGCCTACGCGTGTCAGTCAGCATGTATGGGGGCCGTGTGTGTACCTGCCTGGGTGTGTGCATGTGTGTACATATGACTGGACCTATCCTGCTGTAGCTTCCGTGTGGGTTATGTGAGCATAGCTGAGGGGAGGTTTTCTCAGACTGAGCTCTGCATGGATGGGATGGGTGCTCTCCACTCTCTGACAACCCCCCAC